CTTTTACTTATTAAATATAAAGATAAAAACTTATATAACTAGTATTACTTTACTATTACTTATATATATTTTAGCTTTTAATATATAGCTTTAATCGTTTATTATAAGAATAAGCCTCTCTTTTAATAGTAATTTTAACGATATATTACGTTACCTTAACTTCACTTATTTATTAGGTTAAAGACTAATAAAAGTATATATTTATAATAAAGCTTATTTTATTATTAATTTATAGCTTTAAATAAACGTTTTAATATTCTCTAGTAATTAAGTAAGCTTAAAACTTACACTTAATTTTTAAAGGTAATTAATAGCTATAAGAAAATAAAGGGAGTCTTAGTTATAAGCTTACCCAAAGCTCTTACAAATATAGTAAATACAAGTGTATTATGTATTGTATTTTGTATTGTATTGTATTTTTATGTATTATATTTAAATACATTACATTACATAACTAAAATACCTATAAATGTATTATAAGCAAAAAAAACCCCTGTTTTTTTAAACTTAAGATTATAAGGCTAATTATAAGGGTTATAAGGGAAAGTTTTATATCATTAAAAAGAGCTAAATTAGCTCTTTAAAATCCCCGCTTTTCTTACTTTTTATTTTAAGATATAACTTTAAAGCTTAATATCTCGCTTAATATCCACATTTTAAGGTTAATTTTTAAAGATTTAAAATCACGTGATTTTTAGCTTTATTTTAATATATCATATGCTTATATAAGCATTTATTTATAATATTAGATATTTTATAGCCTTATAATACATTTATAGGTATTCGTATTCTGTAATGTATTATATTACAATACAATACAATATAATACAATATAGTCAAAACTACAAAAAATACAATACATTTAGAGGTCTAAGCTTACCTAAGTAATATATAAAAGTTTTTTAATTAATTACACCCCTTTTAAGAGCTTTTTTAATAGAGATAGGTATTTAAGCTAGTATAAAAGTTTCTCTCTTAGAAATATAAATATTATATTATTATTAGCTAGCGCTCTCTTATAATTAAGGCTTTTATTAATTCTAGTAGTAAGGTAATTAGCTTAAAAGATAAAGAAGTATTATATTAAAGCTAAAGGGTTTAGCTATAAGGGTATTATATTTTCTAGTTTAAAGCTATAATTAAGGTTATATATATTTTATTTAAGATTTAAGAATATTACTTTAATTAAGTAAGTAGTAATATTTATATACTCTTAGAGTATTTTAGCTAGCTAAAGCTTAGTTTTATAATTCTTATTTAAATAATTCTTAGTTAACTAGTAAATTAAGTAGATTATTTACTTCTTAGCTATTAGAAAAAAGCTATATTTCTTAATAATAGGTTTATTTATTAAGGGAATTAAGTAAGTACTTTAAGCTTAAAGAGGGTAAGGGAATAAAATATAAGAGTAATAGCTACTAGAATATTCTTATAATATTATAGATCTCTTTTTATCCCCTTCTTAATTTTATTTA